AGATTTTGAGCCCCTTTCTGTGTTCCAAGAATAGAAAACATTTCATTCTGAAATGTGTATCATCAATTTGCCGGCCCCTCGATGCTGCGCCCGGGGACGGATGTCCCCCCTTGCCCCATCCTAGCTACGCCACTGAGTAGAACATACAGCTGATGGTAGTATCTATTTTTCGACTATTGAAAAGGATATAAAACTGGAGAACTGAAAATGTCTGGATTCAAACATTATGCAGTCAGACACTCATATAATTTTCTAGACCAAAAAACCAGATGCCACATCCATACAATAGAGCAGTTGGGTGTCCGCTGATAACATCGCGGCAAAAACATCGTGGACGAAAACGTCGCGGAGAAAACAACGCAAGGCGAAAACGTCGTGCTACAAAACATCGTGGGAGAAAACATCGCAAAGAGAAAACATCACAGTTCTAAAACATCGTCGTAGAAAATAAAGCGGTTCAAAAACATCGCAGTTTAAAAACATCGTCGTCGAAAATATCGTGGTAAAAAACAAAGTATCTACAAATCATCGCATGACGATAACATCGCAGACATGCTTTTTTCAAGTTTTAATAATTGTAAATGGATATTCCCATAATGATTTCTGAGCGCAAGGTGTAAAGAAGGATAAATTTTACTTTCACATATTTTATTAACTAATAATTTTTGCTGAAAACGTAAGAAGGAAACTTAAGCATAGAAATTAAATGTAACTTATAGATTATACTTTTCATGAAATATTACCAGTAAAAACTTATAAAAAATGATTTATTAATGGCCTTTGTTAGTTAACTATGTCGGTTTAAGTGCTATAAGTTGCATTAATTTTTTATGCTAAGTTTCCTTTTTATTTTCTCAGCAAAAAATTATTAATTAAAAAAATATGAAAGTAAAAATTATCCTTTATTGCATCTTGCGCTCACGAAATCATTATGGGAATATCCATTACACTTATTAAAGCATGCCTGAAAAAAGCATGTCTGCGATGTTATCGTCATGCGATGATTTGTAGATACTTTATTTTTTACCACGATATTTTCAACGACGATGTTTTTAAACTGCGATGTTTTTGAACCGCTTTATTTTCGACGACGATGTTCTGGACCACGATGTTTTAGAACTGCGATGTTTTCTCCCACGATGTTTTGTAGCACGACGTTTCCGCCTTGCGTTGTTTTCTCCGCGACATTTTCGTCTGCGATGTTTTTGCCGCGATGTTTTTGGCTGTAACCGAGCAGTTGTGAGGTTTTGCAAAATGGCATAATAATTGTCAGCTGGAACAACTAGAAACTATTTAGTCTTACTTAATTAAATTTATGGTGACGCTTGTATATTAAGACAAATTTATTTTCAGCAGTTGATAACGAAATTAACAATTTCATGTCTGGTGTGTAAATTTATCTCCCCCCTTTAATTTCATTGTTATTTTTTTCTGTATGTTTTAATTTATTAATGTGAAGTAAATGTAATAAAAATTAAAGTCGGATAGGGTCAAATGTTGTGGTACCTAGCTAATGAAAAAATACCGTTCAAACTCTTACCTTTTTTTAAGACAATCTAAAGATGATTAAATAAAGATATATTTTATTAAATAAAGATATATTTTATTTTATAAACACGGGAAAGAAAGGCGAAATAAGAACTAATTAAATTTACAGCTTCCTTTGTTTCATTCAGCACGAAGAGAATGAAAGATGCACAGTTCCTTGCTGTTCATTTCCGCAAGCAATTCCACAAATATATGGCATTTTTTCATCCAGTTTTAGGTTTTAATACCTGAACAGAATTACCTATCAGAAATGATTTTTTCCACATTTGAAAGAAACCAACTTTTTTATTTCTACATTTCACTCACTTCCGTGGTTACTAAAGCAACAGATAACTAAATAACATTAATTTTTTCAAAATTCTGTAATTAAAGTTTGTCATAGAAAAAAGTAAGAATTTTTTACGCTCTTCATTTATTTTTCAGTTTCTTTTGTTATTTCATTTTAATTAAATTCTTTTAATCATTGAGAAGCACGAATATTAATTAACGTTAATAATATCTTAATTTTTATTACAAGGAACCGCCATCATCGCGATATGATCCGGCCACGGAGTATCCGTGGATCCGGCAATTGACAAAGCAGACAGATAATAATGTTTTGTCTGTTTGTTGTCTTTCTGCCTGCAGGGAGAAAAATCAATCTTGGGAGTAAAGGAGAGGGAATTTCGGGTTTCAGAGGAAAAAGTTTTGTGCACTTTTATACGCATTTGAGAGGTCATATAACAAAGATGGGGTAAAAATTGAAAGATTATGTGTCTATATTAAGTTTCTAACAGAGAGAAAAAATAAAAGGTTTCAATTTAGATTTAGAACGAGAAATGTAGAAAGCAATCTATCAGTACATATTCAATGAATGCAATAAATAAAGCGAATTCTGTGTAGCCTCACAGACCGTAATGTTTCCCAAGAAAGTGTAAGTATAAGTTGCATTTTATTGTAATGTGAACTGACAAGAAACTGTATAATATTAGCCGGAAAACCACGAAATTAAAACTCACACATGAATGAAATACACTTTATAGTTCAAATAACTTTATACGATACACATTAAATTTTAAAATTATGTCGCAGAACATTTTAAATGAAATATAATTTTCATCAATAGCATTTACTATCAGGGGCATAGCTAAAGGGGGAACATCTGTCCCGGGTGCAGCACCGAGTGCTGACGAACTGATGTAAAGAATTTTAGAATGAAATGTTTTCCAGTCTTGGCAAACAAGAGGGGCTCGAGATTTCAGTTATTCCCGGGCGCTGAAAACACTAGCTACAACTCGGTTCACTATGTTGAAGAATTAGAGGTGTGTGAGGGAGGAGCAAGGAGGTTAGAATAGAAGAAGGGAAGGTTCAACTCAAACGGTGAAGCTTGGCGGCCATGTTACTGTTATCACTGTGACTTGTGCAAGGAAGTCTGTAATTGTAACATTTTTTTTTCCCTTTCTTTTTGAAGCATGTCTGCTTATATTGCATAGGGATGCACAAATAGATTTTCGAAAAATATTCCTGGGATTACTGTTCACTCGTAAGTATTTTCTTTTTTTTTTTTTTATGTTATTTCATAAATATGTTAAAAAAAATGTCACAATGTCATGTGTTTTCTTTCCAGATGTGACAAAAAAGACTTAATAATAATCGAAACATGTTAATACAAATACTTTTAATGCTTTTGCTTACAGCTGGTATCTTCGTTCCTTACATACAATGATATATGCAGGCTTATATGCTTGCTGTATAATTTGAACGCTTAGATAATTCGTTTATAATTTTCATGAAAAGTAAGAAATCAATGTTACTATTTTTATGAATTGTAAAGGTGTTAAATAAAGCAATGCTTTTCTTTATGTATTAATTATTATTCATTTTTAAGTTTTGTGAACTGTTACGAATATAATTTGTGCATTTGATCAAGATAACTGTTCTGTTGTTAAAATGTTTTTGCATAAGCTTACAAATTTGGGCAGTATAGCGATAAACATAATAAAATATTACACATTTGAACATGTGAAAAGATATATCCAAAAATTTATATAGGTATATTCTGTAATTCAGCTTAATTCAAGGTAATTTCTTTGAGATTCATAAATATGAAACGCGCATAAACTGAAATCATTGAATTCACATAAATCTTTTTTATTTTATTAATATTTATTTCTTGTTGATATAAGGTTTGTTGATTGTGAAAGAATCTATTTAAAACTTTCATTTAAAAAAAAAAGCAACGTGTTACCATTTTTTTAGATAATTATCTGCTAAATTTCAGGTAAAAATGATCTTTAATAAAATTTATAATAATATTGCGAATAAATCAGAAATATCACTTCTTAAAGAAACAATTGGAAAGTATACCAGAGAAGTTGCTAATAAAACCTAAACAAATTCTTGAAATTATGCAGAAACATAATTTGTAAAGGCTTTAATGTTATGCACATGCATTTAGATTTCGAAATATTTCTTAATGATTTTCTGTACTTAGTAAATTACAGATATCATCTTTATAACTTTAAAACAAAAAACTAACAATAGCAAAGCATTTCATTATAAATTTAAGATATTTTTACTGGAAAATTCATGCATAGAACTTACAAACACGTACGTTTCACTACCGTATCGCAATGTTTTGAAGTAACAAACATGGACGCCGCTTGTTCCGTGAAGTTTCATTCCCGATAGTGGAGGAAACTGCGAACCCTCCCTCCTTCTATTCTAACCTCCTTGGGGAGGAGACAAGGCCTGGCCTTGGGGTGGGCGTAACCTTGGTAAATTCAACACCGATTCAACTATAACTGCAGTAGAGTCGGTGTTGGTAAACTACAGGACTATAGAACATTTTCATTCTAATAGCGGAAATTCCTGAAAATTTATTATTGTTACACTATTGCTTATTATTATTAAAATTTTTGAAGACTGGACTAGTGCTAAATCTACTTTAATACGAAGACTTATACTATCAGAGTTTTTAATAAAACAGATTCATTACTTTTTCAAATGTCTGTTACCAGTAGCGTAGCTAGAATTCCAGCGACCGGGGACAACTGAAGAATTTGCGCCTCTTTCTGTGCGCCAAGAATGGAAAACATTTCATTAAAAAAATTCGTAGCATCAATCTGGAGCCGCTTGGATGTTGCGCCCAGGGACAGGTGTCCCCCCTTGCCCCACCTAGCTACGCCACTGTCTATTACTATTTTAAATGTATATGAAATGAATACTTTGACTTAAAATAATATATTTTAGTGGAGACAGCTGCTGTTTAAAAAAAAGTGTCCAAAGTCTCAAGAACTTGTTTATTTTTTTAATTGGTTTCACTCACTTCTCAATTCATTCAAATTAGTTAGATTTTAGTTATTTAATTTTTGAAGATCCGTTGTTTAGGAAAGACCGAAATCGCTGAGATTCTTACTATATTTGAAAATATTTGTGGCAATACGGTTTGCGCGAAGTGTTTATTTCCAAACTGCGGTACAAAATCTTCATACTGCTGCCAAAATCATGGCCATTAGTACGAACGGCAGAATCAGTTTGTATTGTTTTTGTGTAAACTTGACTGTACTTCTGGTTCCATGTCTTGGATATTTAAACAGAACGCTGAAAAATGTTGTGGAAGATTATTGGATTGTCATGTCAGTCGTATACTCTTTGGGAATACAAGCGCATTTATACTTAGTTTATAAAAGAAGAGGCTATGCATACAAAGTTGCCTGGAGATCTGGGATTTTGGGATTTTTTTTCGGACTTGGTTTACTTATTACTGGTCTTGCTGCTTCATCCTGGTGTGTTTTCGGATGTTACATGTCTCTGCTGAGTTTTTTTCACTTCTCTGAATACCTCACCACCGCTATCATCAACCCCAAATCTTTGAGCTTGGATTCTTTCTTACTAAACCATAGCAAGGAGTATGGAGTTGCTGCTTTATGTAGTTGGATGGAATTTTTTGTTGAATGGTACTTTTTCCCTCATTGGAAAGAATTACGGTGGGTTACAGCTGTTGGATTATTTTTATGTATTGTGGGAGAGTTAGTGAGGAAGGGAGCAATGTTTACTGCTGGAACAAATTTTAATCATATTATACAGAGCCATCGGGAGGAAGGTCATGTATTAGTATCTCATGGTCTTTATGCTTGGTGTCGTCACCCTTCTTATGTGGGTTGGTTTTGGTGGTCTGTGGGTACTCAGATTGTTTTGTGCAATCCTCTTTGCACACTTATATATGCTGTAGCATCATGGAGATTTTTTCGACAAAGAGTTGTCGAAGAAGAAATAACTCTTTTGAACTTTTTTGGAGAAGATTATGTTAATTATCAGCGTCGTGTTCCCACAGGCCTGCCTTTCATCAAAGGATATAGATTAGAACTTTGAACAGAGATAATGAATTAGTCTTGGAAAATAATGAAGTTTTGAGTGGATATGCTCTATAATGTATGCATATGAAGAGTTGAATTAAATATGATCTTACAGTTCCTGTGCAAGAACTATGTGAATGCCTAAAAGAAAGAAAATTAGTGATCTTTTTCTGCCACTCTAATTAGAGTGGTGTGAGCGGATTACTTCTGAGTTGTGTACATCATTTTAATGCTCACAATCCCAGATTCTGAATTGCGAAGCCATGTACAGATATTATAATGAGAGGTTTAGTCTAATTTTTCTGCAGCTAATTTTCTAATGTGAAATGATATATCAAGTTACGTAATAGAAATCATAGTGAAATTATCATGAGTTGGATAATCAGCTAAGGAATCGAGGAAATTGTGCATACCTCTACCATTTGAAATTATCATGTGTGCCATATTTGAATGTTAAAAGTTTATATTGAAATTTGGTGCTTTTGATAACTGCATTTATATTTATAATTTTACATTAATCATTTGGCAGATGTAGCTGTTAATATGGTCTTAAGTATGTGAACATCTAGAAGCAATAAGAATTATATTGTGTTCATGAGAGAATAATATTGTGAATAGAAAGCAAGCAATGAAATATCAAGCTTTGCAATCATGAACAAAAAATTTTGCTGTAATTTGAAGAAATTACAGCAAATTACAACAGATGGATTAATTTTTAATTATTTATTTCAGTATACTGCTTTAATCATGTTACTTGCATTACAGTATTGCTCAACTGTACTGATATCATAGTTGAGAATTACTAAAAGAAAATCAAGTCTTGAGATCATTATCAAAAGATATTCCATTTAATTTTTTGTGTTACTTCTCAGAAAAAAGCATGGAATATTTATGTTTTAATTGGAGACAACAATAGTATTCTTTAAAAGATTAAAAAGAGAGACAGGGAGAAAGTATTGCAGGCTAAGATTGCAGTTTTAAAATAGTTAAGAAGTCTGCAATACTTTTTTAGTCATGCACCAAGTATTCAGAAATAAATATTTCTTTATAAGTTTTCTGTGGTTGTTAATTTGTGATTAAAATTTGTAATAGTGTAACAAAATTAGAATCATTTATTCAATATATGAGAATTTTAATATTGGACTATTTTCTTATGATCTTAGGAATAAACCTCATCTGGCTACATCAAATTGTATGTTGCCACATTTTTAAATGTAAACTGCAGCATATCAAAATAAAAATTGAAATAATTTAATAATTTGTTAAATTTCAAACTATTGTATAGCTGCAGTTTGCATTTTGTTATTGCTGTCATTATTGCTAGTTGTAAAGTGAAGTGTAATGAATTTATTAGCAATTACCCACAAAGTATGAAGAAAATTATTGTTAATCATGTAACTTTTAATACGTAATTGCAGACTTTACTCTGAGACACTTCAGTTTATTTGCTTTTGTATTTGGCTCTTCATTATATTTGCTTGAATTATGTGAATGCAGAATATATTAAAAAATATTTGGAAATTTATAGAAATTTGAAAAAAAAATTATGAAAAATTGAGTTCTTTAATATTATGGCCCTCATTATTTAAACATTTCCAAGAGCCCTTTTGTTAATAGACTTACTAAAATAGAAGTACTACTCAAAGCTGTCCTTATGATGGACAGACTGTAGTTAAAACTGCTGGCAATTTGCTAACTGTTTGCGAAAGCTCCAAGTAGCTTTGCCATTTTGATGCAGTTCTTTAAAGAGGTCTTGAAGGCATTTAACTAGCAGGGGCTGTAATAAACAGGAAGTACCGAAACATACATTTTCCTTAGATGGGTACAAAGTAGTCGCCAGCATTTTTTATTTTTTTATTTTGAGGGTGGCATTCTTTGCTATTCTTGATATTAGACCTGAATTGTGTATATCAGCAGAGAGATTACAAATACATTAAAACGAAAACACAGCAAACAAAAATACCGATATATTTAATGAAACATACAGTACCTGTCACTTATTTAAACTCATCCACTTATTATGTTCAGATTTTCAGGAACGAAAACAGAATAGAAAATACACCACATATTAAACTGAGATTGGCAAAAGACTGATTCTCCAGTGCCAGAATATCTTACTTATCAAAGCTTTTCGTAGTTCATCCATTTAACAATTTTTTTCCCTCTACGAATGGCAGGCCCTCAATTGACTGCCTTGTCTACAATTGACTCAATTGACTGCTTGGCTTAAGTCAGAAGTGATGGTAACTTTATTATGGAGGCTTCTAATAGGTGGGCCACCTTTGTCTCCTATGAAGGAACATACAGTTACAGCCATGTCTTCTTCGAGATTGGAACCTGTGCTCTTTGTTATCACGGTTGGCTCCACTAACCACTATACCATCTGGGCGACATTAATGAATTGTAGACCGTGACTTTATTATTCAGATATGTGGTACTTCAATAAATAGGGTTTGACCCAAATTTTTTTATCCTTACCTGATCCCTGTGCATGTGAGATGCTCCTTCCAGAGTTTTTTGTCTATTATGGACTTCAGAACTGCAGAATTTCCTTTTTTTAAGTTTAATAAAGACATTTCTTTAAAGGTATTGTAAATGAGTAAGGGTTCCTTCTCAAATATTAGCTGATAGGAAGTGAAGGTGTAACTTCTGTATCCCATGTTTTAAGGTTTACTTATTCAAAATCCTTCTCTTGGAATAGGTACACCGCACAAAAAAAAAGGGGGGGGACAGTTCTATATCTCTCATTCTACTGGGCCGATTGACAAAATTCAAATTGTGTTTTTCATGTCTTGAGAACACGACTTAGGATATGTATTACATTTATATATAGCACTGTTCTAACATAGGTATTTTGACACAAAACCGGACTTTTTCTCAAATAACATACCAATTTTTTTCTATATTTCGATTCTAATTATGCCTAAATATTATATATGCTCAAATTATGCCTAAATATTAAATTCTGTAGAATTTGGTGCGGAATTTACGGAAAATTCAAAGATTTATCTTGGCACAATTTTTTCAGTTTGCGCCAAGAATAATTCACTTGACGAACTTCTTAATATATGGCAACCTTTGCGATTATGGCAACCTATTGCGATTGACCGTGGATTTTCTCCCTTGATTATTGATAAAGCCGTCAAAAAATTTTCAGATTCCCATCAAAGAAGACATTCCACTGTTAGAAATAATATCAATGACCTTGTCGTGCTTCCATTTTATCCTTCTGTTAGCTATAAAATTGCACGGATTCTCCAGAAATTCAATTTTCAAGTCGGTTTCTCCCCTATTAATAAAATTCACCCTTCGATTCTAAAAGATTGCATTTCTGTCTTGAATTCTTGGGGAATTATAGTATATCATGTCAGTGTGGTTTAAGAATATATTGGCCAAACAAAAAGAGCGTTGAAGTTTCGTATCAAGGAACATGAATCTTATGTCAAAAAAGGGGAAATTAACAAGTCTTCAATAGCGTATCATAGCTGGACTTTTAACCATAATTTTGATTTTGGGTCTGCAAAAATCATCCAAAAGGCTTCTTCCATAGGCGAATTGGATTTTCTTGAGGCTTTTCACATTCACAAAGATTTAAAAAGCTTAGTTAATGATTTGAAGTCCAATCCAGTCCTTCCTAATGCCTTTAAATTCTACTCTTAATTCAATTATTTTTGCCGATAGACTGACGTTACCTCGCACTTGGTACTACCAGAGGGTATAAATCCGTTCAGTTTGCTTTCCATTGAAGTTCAGATTTTGGATGTATGTGCCCTCCCTTTTACCCAATCGCTAATATTTCCTTATGCCCTGATTAACAAGCTTCAGTAAAAGCGGCGGCACAATTCGGCCAGTCTGATTAAAAATCTAGTTTAAACCACGCTTCATGTGTTTCCTGTGATTCCTCTTTCTCTTTCTTCTTTCTAGTGTTTCTTTTAACCTTTATGATAATTTCTTTCTCCTGTCTTCTTTCTATGTATTTATCTCTGAAAGGGACCTTTAGCTGGTTTCATTATACCTACGCTAAATATAAGGTTGTTTTTTACGATTTTGATTGTCACATTAGCGTGTTTCTCTTCTAGTTCTAGTCTATATGACAACCTATTTTCTTTTCCCTTCCATTGCAGGAGCGGAAAAAAAGTTACTTTTTTCCTACTTTCAAATAGTTTAAACAAAGTGCCTAAACCACATTTGATGTTATTATTATGCCAAATTTCAAAACACGCTAATATATAAATTCACGTATATCTTCGGAAATATTGAATAAAAAACCGCAATTGTTTGCAGGTATGAAATGTTTAAAAATACATCTACTTTAAGACGATGGTAAAAAAATTATAATTCAAATTTTTTTTGAAAAATTCATAAAAATTATTTTAAAAGTAAATCATAAAAAAATAGACTTAATTTTACTTGGAATGAACCTAAATTTCGAAATGTGAAAGGAAGAATCAAATAAGTTAGATAGAAAAAGAGATATTAAAAATGTATGCCAAAGTCAATCAACATTGAGGAGCTAATTTTTTTAATCTACTTATGCGATGTTTGCGAAACTTGAGTCGTAGAGTCAAAATATGGAAAAAAATTAGCATGTCATTTCAAAAAAAGTCCAATTTTGTGTCAAAATACCTATATTAGAACAATGCTATATATAAATTTAATACATAACCTAAGTCGCGCTCTCGAGACATGAGGAACACAATTTGAGTTTCAATTGGCCCAGTAGAACGGGAGATATAGAACTGTCCCCCCTTTTTTTTTTCTTTTTTTTTTTTTTTTCGCACTGTATATGTTAAATACGGCAAATTTAATTTTTGGAGCCTTTCAATTATTAAGCTAAACTTGAATTACCAAATTGCAAATTAAAAAAGGAATTAATAAAAAGATAAATTGATTTGTTAATTTTTTATATATTTATAAATTTGGTTTAGTTTAAAAATGTTTCTGTTCCTTCAAGAAATTTTGGTCATAAGTAAAGCTTTCTAAATTTGAGAGATATATAAAAATAATATACATTAAAAACATCTCAAAGACAAACGTCATTGCTTCTAGATCATTTTATTCTTTTATGAGGATAGTTGCCTTTAATAAATGATGTTTAGTAACAGTGGCTTAGCTAGGGTTTTCAGCGCCCGGAGACAACTGAAGAATTTGCGCTCTTTTCTGTGTGCCAAGAATGGAAAACATACCATTAAAAAATTTCGTAGCATCAATTTGAAGCCCCCTGAATGATGCGCCCGGGGACAGATGTCCCCTCTTGCCCCACCCTAGCTATGCCACTGTTTAGTAATGATCTTTATTAATGATGTCAGAACTACTGTTAAGTTTAAGAGGCAGTTGCCCTAAGAAAGTTCATTGCATTTGTATTAATACTCTGAGCTTTGAAAATATGTAGGAATGAAACTAATGCCTGATGTATGTTTTTTAACCGAATATAAATCTGTTATCTAAGCCTTTCTCAGATGTATTAAATTCAGTTTTGTATGGATAAATACTGCAAGTATGTTTTGGACATATAAATTATATTTTATTTTAAACTATTAAAAAATTATCAATGTTTTTGTAAAAATGCACTTACAAATTTGTATTTTTTCAGCATTTTTTAATCACATACTTTTAGATGAATTTTTAGAGTAATGTAATTTGGTAAATGTGTGAATGAAATTAACCTGAAAATGAAAATTAATGAATTTATTTATAAGAAGTATAAATCTAATAATACTGGTAAGTGATCCAACTATATTAATGTAATGAAACTTTATGTTGAACAGCAAATTGGAGAATTCAATCTTAACATTTGTTGCAAATTATTTTATTGTTGTTTGATTGCTGTCAGGATGACCTAATTATTCTAGAAAAGGAAATAAATGGATTTGTTAACAAAAGGTAAAGATACAATTACAGTAGAGTGTGCTTAAGATAACTTCTCATATAGTTTAGTCCATTGTGAAAGCAGTTACCTTAAGAAGTGTTGTTCTATGCTAATATGTATTTATGTCTAAGGAATTTTGGTTATAGTCAGAGATATTTGCCATGAGACATTTCACCATTCTCTTTTTGGATTTAGCATTTTAATGACAGTTGTAAACCACAGTAACTTATTTATGTAGATATTATTTATTTGCATAATGCTTTGAAAAAAGAAACCATTTACAAAATGAATTAAGTTTCGTTAGCATGATCTTTCTGAGAAGAATCTTAAATTCTGTTAAAAAGTAGTGATAAAGCTGTGATGCAAATTTTGCTCACCATATTTATTTTATATTTTTTATGAACATACAGAAAGTAAACATTGTTTTTTATGTGCAAGCTAGAAAAGTGTGTGTGTGTAATTTTTTTTCAAGTGTGTATTGAAAGTATTGCTCATTCAAAGTGAACTCGGAATGATATATTCTTTAAATTTAGCAATGTGTTGATTTCTTTTTTTTTTTTTTAAATTTTTTTATTTGTACATATTAGAAATTTAATAAAATGTAAATAATGAGCCATCAACCCATATTTTGTATATAATGCAACTTGTTCGTAAGAATAGAGTAATTATATGGGTATTAATTACTATGCAAGTTATATAATTGCTTAATTATGTTGCTGTAATTGATCTTGTACAATGTGTAAATTTTTGTATAAAAATATTCTAAATGTTGTAATTGTTGTATTTGAAGGTAAATCAGTTAGTTTGGCCAAATCTTCTTTATGGAAAGCTAATAGATCCTTTTTTGTATTTTGTGTTAAAATGTATGATATGCATTTTTTTAATATTTTAAGCCAAAATGTTGTTATTCAGAAAGCAATACAATTTGAACACTGTGGAAAGCACTGTAGCCTTAGAATAATAGTAGCAATTCTTACAGTATGTTAAAATTTATTTTCTGAGATTTTCAAGAATATGTTCTGAAAGCTTTGTAAAAATATTGAAATGTGTCGCTTTTTATATGGTGCTGTATGTGCTTGCTTACACACTTTTTATTTTTATAGGGATGATTATAGTACAGTCATAAATACAGTTTTTTTCTGTGCTTTGCTTTTCCATTATTTCCTAAATAGTTATATCTTTTATATTTATTCACTTTTTAATTAGATGTGCTTGTACAATGCTTTTTACAATGATTTGTAAATCGTGTAAACATCTCAATTGACAGTAAACACTTAAATGATTATTGACTCAAAGTTTATTAATACTTGAATATTTATATTTTAAATAGATCTGTATGTGTATGATTATATCTAATGCATAATATCTTTTAAAAATAATATTATATAATTTAAAGTTACATACAAAGTTATCATTACAAAGTTTCAATAAAAAATTTGTATCTTTTCCATTGTAGGGTAACATGTACCAAATAATTTTCCATAGAAGATATATGCTGTAGCATTGCTTATTGATCAGCATTTATATATGTTTTTTCTATCTCATATAATGGTGTTCTTGTTTTCAAAGAGAGTATTGTTAAATTTAAAGTGTTTCATTCTATTTTATTGTTTAAAGAAATAACTAACCTAAGCGATATAATTTTTAGGGTAAAAAAAATTTATCACAGTGGAAATGAGTTGATGACAAAAGTGTATTTTCTTACCAGAAGTATCAAGTTGGTACACATGGCATATCTTTACAGGAAAATGTTTAATGCATATTGTCCTATGTTGGAAAAGATCCAAAATTTTTTTCTAATTTTGTATTGCTAATTATTTTAGCAATATATATTGTAAATTAACTTGCCAAAATATTTTGTTATTCATTAAAGCTTTTTAAATATACCAAATTATTTGTAAATTGTATTATTTTTGGCCTTGATTTTTTCAGCCT